AGATTAGTTCATGTTGTTACTTCATTTACAGGTTGTTTCTGAATAGGTTCAATGGGCCAGTTTCAGTAATTTTCAAATAACCTATTTTCTCATCCCTAGGCCACCTATTATTTGGAAAAAAAAAAATCCATAACAACCTATAACATGGGCATTTTCCAAAAAGAAAGAAGAAAAAGATGTAGACAGATGTAAATCTAGATAAAAATCTATCTGTACCTACATCTATTCATCCATCCACCCATCCATCCATCCACTGGATGAACAGAGAAAAGTTTAAAGTTGGAAATCAGAAAGTGCCTAGTTACATACTTTCTCTTGGGATGGGTGTGGTTTACAGAGGTGCTACAGAAGATGCAGTCAGGTTCAGTGGCTTGGTACTCTACCCCGTCCAAGGTTGAGTCAGGGGAATAAGTTTGGACCTTGAGATAAACAAAAACATAACCAAAAACAATGTAATTCTAATCACAGAAGCTGAGGTTCATGTTTTATGTTTACTCACCCGATACAGTGGAACTATTCTAGGCCAGACTAGCTTTTTTTAAATTAACATATAATGTATTATTTGTTTCAGTAGACCAGACTAGCTTTTTTGCCCAATATTGTATAAGTAGAATTTTCAAATATACTGAAAAATCGAAGTAATTGCACAATGGATACCCAAATACTCACTGCCTAGATTCTTCATTTGTTATATTTTGCTTTGTTTGTACTATGGGCTGAATGTGTGTATTCTCCCAAAATTTGTATGTTGAAGCCACAATCCTCAGTGTGATGGTATTTGGATGTGTGACCATTGGGAGGTTATTAGGTCATGAGGGTGGATCCCTCATGAGTGAGATTAGTGCCCTTATAAGAAGAAACAAGAGAGAGATTATTTCTCTCTGTGTCATGTGAGGATACAGCAAGAAGGTATCTGTCTGCAAAGCAGGAAGAGGGTTCTCACCAGGAACCAAATCAGCTGGACTTTTGTCTTGAGCTTCCCAGCCTCCAGAACTGTGAGAAATAAATTTCCATGAGGCCACTTAGTCTACGGTGTTTTGTTGCAGTAGCCCAAGTTCAGACCATTTTCTTTCTCACATACTTGCATATCTATCTACCCATCAATCCATCCATCATTACCCTTCACCCCTAAACATTTCTGCATGCATTTAATTAAGCAGAGTTCAATATTTTATGGTTCTTTCCCATTTTAAGGTAAAATTTACACACAGTGAAATGCACAAATTCTAGTACCATTCAATACATTTTAACAGATACAATCATCCATTTAACTCAAACTCGCATCAAAATATAGAACATGTCCATCACCTCAGAATACTCTTTCATGTCCATGCTTAGTTCATCTTGACGCTGAGGCCAACTCTGAGGCAACCACTCTTCTGCTTATTTTCATGATAGATGAATTTCACCTATTTGAGAACTTCCTATAAATGGAGTCATGTAATAGATACTCAGTACGTTTTTGAGATCCCATGTTAATTTCCTTTTTAGTTGTTGAATGGTACTCCACTGTATAAATATATCGGTGTTTACTCATTCATGTGGACATGAGGGGTCTTTGCAGTTTTTGTCATTATGATTAGATGTGCTCTGAACATTCTTGTGCAGGTCTTTTATTCTTCTTTTTAACATATGGGTAAATGCCTAAAAATAGAACTGTTGGGTTTTCAGCACATGTTTACTTGTATAAGAAACTGCCAGGCCTTTTCCCAAGTGGTTTTTCCATTCTCACCTAGAATGTACTCTCCACATCCTCAACAACACTTGGTGGAATCAGCCTTACTTGTAGCCAGTCTGGCACATGTCATGGGCTCCTACCTAAGAATGCTCTCATCAGCTTCTGACCATTAGAGCAAAACCCGCATCTCACTGAGCCTTCTCCCCCAAGTATTTACCTCAGAAGTTTGAGAAAAGGGGCTTACATTTCAGTGGTTTATCTCTTCTAAGGCCCTAATAGAGCAGAGGAATTTTATCTGCTATCTGCTCACTTTTCCTCTATCTTGCTTAGAAAGGAAAGTTTAAAATGTCCTAACAGTCATCCGCCTGGATCAAGTTGGCAAGTTCAAAGTTCTACTTTGTTTCACGATATATTTTGAGGCAAAAGAATCTCACTTCTAAATCTCAGCCTTTCTCACAGTTTCTAGCAATATTTAGAAACTTTGATATTCTAGAGAAGAAAAGTTCCCAATATTCAGGCTCAAGATATTCTCCTTCCGGCTTCCCTAAGAACCATTCTTCAATTATCATGGCTACTCTGTAAAGCAGGATTTGTGTCCTCTCTTACAGAAGAGCGAACTGTCCCTGAGCCCAGAGTCTTATGCATAGGGTTTTAGGACCCTCACACGAGTATTCCCACACACGCCTCTCCCCTTGCAGGCAGCTCCTCTTGGCAGACTCTGACCCACAATGCAGGGCTCTGGCGACATCCCCTGCCCTCCATCCACCTCATGGGGACAGTGCGTTTGGCAGTCTCCCTTAGCTACACATTACCAGGCCCATTCATCCCCCAGCCTGCATCCTCTCTCCTCCCCCCTTTCTTCCAACTCTGCTCAGTTATCTCATAAAACTCTTGCTCTGTCTCTTATTTTCTTCCATATGGGAACTAAAAATGTATCCTAAGTTTGCCTGATGACTGCCAAAGCAGTGCTAGTGGCATAATAAAGTTGGACATAATGAAGAACCAAGGCCATCAACATCTAAAGCCCTTGCAAGTACCAAGAGATCCCTTTTGCAATCTCCACAAAGGAACCTTCTACTTTCTCAACCTCTCCTAATTAAACTGGCTTTTCCTCAAGTACCGGAATTCTACATAAACAAAACACTTTTGTCTTCACTACTGAGTTTCTGTTTTAATGAACAGCATCACAGCAACATTGTTTCCTATTACTTTGGTTGCAAAGATACAGCATGTCAGTTAGGTTTTAAATTAAATTGCAACAGTATGTCTACAAAAAATCATGTAGCAAATGCCAAACTGACTTAAACTTCTGGAATAAAATCAATTTCTAAATTAGGACTTGCCTTTTTTTTTTTTCCCTATTCAGTTTTAAATATTTGTTACAAGAATTTCCTCTTTGGCATGTTTTCTCCTGTATAGAAATATATAATGATACAATAGTACCATCCGCAACATCACAGCTTTCTATGTAGTATTTCTACCTAGAAAGTATATATGATTATAATTCCATTTTACAGATGAGGAAACTGAGATTCAGGAAAGTTTAATAACTGCCAGCTAGTAAGTGTCAGAGCCTGAATTCACACCTTAGTTTGTCAGCCTCCAGCTGATGCTTTCTTAGCCACCATAACACCACCCAGCACACAGATTAGAGCTTCCCAACTTGGACTGGAATAGGTCATGACTGTGTGATTCACCTCCCCATCACTCTCTGCAGCTCCACCATGTTCTTCCCAAATAGTTATCCAAATCTCACCAACTTTCAGGAGGATAGGGGAAAACTGGAAAAAGCTCTAAAGGAAAAGCAGTAAATCCAGGTCTTTAATAAATCCAGAGCTATTTTAAAAAACAAAGCTGTATCTAGCAAAGAGATGAGCCATGTGATAATCAGCACCTATGATGCATGTTAAATAGCTCTCACATGGCCATGAGCATCAACACAGAATACAGCTTATGTACCTGCCCTCTTGTTATCCAGAGTGCTGGGTATTCCTCACTACCTTGCTCTAATGGTGTTTATACAGATCAACAATGAGATACCACTGAACAGAGACTTTGTGGGCTGCAGCACAGATAAAGACTAAGAAGAGTGAGAGCCTAGATTGGCTATAGAAGCTGCCTTTTTTTTTTTCTCCCTGAAGCTGATGCTTTTCTACTAGCTTGGCTGCTGACATGTGAGGCTAGAGCCCATTGACTCCTTGAGCCTACCATGTTGTTAGCAACTTCATCCTTATTTCAGTAAGACTGATGCCTGGGGTGGACAGGCTCACTTGCCCTCCATGCTACCCTTTCTAGTTTACCTTCTGGACTTGAAAGGCTGGAAATCAAACAACATTTTTCAGACTCTCTTGCAGTTAGAATTCCAGATAAGAACTAGGTGCCTTTGGTTGTATGTACTTGCAAGAGACCCAGAAGGCAGAAGGGGGGCAGGAACCATCTTCCTATCCCCTCTTAAGCCTTTTTTTTTTTTCCCCTGACAATCACTACAGCCAAGTTAATTTTTGCAACATTAGTCCAATGCCCAGTATCTAACTTCTTGGGTCCTGATAGGCAATTGTGGCTGTTTCCAGCAGCAGCATTTTTATTCTGGCTTTCTGGACCCGGGACTGCCGCTACAGGAGGGCCTCGAGGCCCTCCTTCCAGTGGTGATCTCTAAAGTGCTACCTCTCCTGCTAAGTCAGGCTCATATTGCCCTAGATCCTTTTCCAGCACCTCCTCTGTCAGAACCATAACCACTAACATTTCTCATATGCTCACTGTGTGTTAGCCATTAGGCTAAATGCTTTATAGAAATCATTTTATTTAACCCCGCCCCCCACAGACAAACCAATAAGGAAAGTATTATGCTCCTCCCTTTGTTCCAGGTGAATCTACTGAGATTCCTAATAGAGAGCTGAATTGTACTGGATCAGAGCAAAGCTAATGGGTAAGTGGGTAGAGCTGGACTTTGGCCCCGGATGTGCCTCACTCCAAACCCTACGCTCTGACTCTTTAAAGGTATTTGCAGGCCTGGAACCTCTTAGCAGATTTTAATTGCCCACACACAACGTGCTGCTGAGGAGACAGCCCTCTTTTCCCTTTAACCATATGCACATAGAGGGCAGCCTATTTTGCATGGAGCCATATCCAGATAGTGGAGAAGCCATCAAGCTAATGAGATAAAAGGGCATTTAAGATACTCCGAGGTATCGCTTTGTAAAAACATGGCTAAGTCATACCGAGATCATGTCTTGAAGAAAGTTCAAGAATGAAGACTAAAGCCAACACAGCCTTCAGCTTGCCTCTGGAAGGCCCAGAGCTGGGGCTACAGACACGCACTTACCAGGCGCTCTATTAACAGCGAGGTTTCGGAAATGGCTGCCTTTGATCATTTCCACGGATAATCGCCCCGTTGTGGCGTTGTAGGCCAGCCCCACCAGCAGCTCCGGGGCCCCTCCATGAGAAAGCGACTGCGTGGAGGAAGCAGTATCACTGTGAGAAAGTGCAGATGGGCTGAGCGGAGACTCTCCACTCTGGAGGGGGAGAACAACAAAGAATCCATTGGTCCACGCTGTACTGCTCTCGTACAGAAAGCCGGTATTATGTGTGCTGAAATTGTGGCCCGGTCCCAACCGTTGCCAAAGATTACTAACGGCGCACTTGGTGTGAATGATAATGGGCCTGGGGAGTGCGGTCACGGGTGAGATGCCCTGCATTATTCGCTGACACACTTGCCTCGAGAGCTGTCTCCATTCAACATTTCCTCTCTAAAGACAAAATGGACAAAGATATTATTACTCGTGTAAATCAAACCCTCTCATACAGGAAGAGCTCATAATACATTTAATATAGACCCAAGTTCCCTCCTGTGTCATTTGTGCTTGAGTGTTTCTACGGAACCCATCCACTCTAGGCACGAGTTTTGTTTCTGTTCTCTGCAGCTTCTTGATGAATGCAGCAACACAGGAGGCCCTCTGTCTTTGCTAGAAGAGAAGCAGCCGTGACCACCTACCACCACACAGAATATCTGGGCCCTAGTTCTGCTTCCTAGGGTTGTCAGGAATAGGCCAGATGCTACATTCCCCCCCCCCCTCGCCCCGAGGAAATGAATTATATTGAAAATGAACAATTTTACGAGTGTTTGGTAAAAAAATAAAATAATAAAATAAAATAAATCCATGCATGGACTGTGGATCTCAGAGACCTTGCAGGCACCAGGTGAGCCTAGGAGAGAGTCAGCGCTTTCTGTCCTATTTATTCCTATTTATTCCCACACACTGAGGAGACAGCCCTCTTTTCCCTTATTCCCACACACTGGCTTCTCCAAAGTGCCCACCTTTCTACACCAGACACATTGGGAGGAGGAGAGCAAAGTAAGTCAGGAGGTTGACTCTCACTCAAGAAGCACAGTGGGCATTGGCCCTGTGGGCATAAGACAGCCAGACTCCCCAAACCACCACCTCCTCCACCAGAAATAAGTGCATCAGACTTAGCTCAAACGGTTGCCTCAATGTCTGAAATCACTTCCTAAAGCTTGTTATCAAAAACCCCACAAAGGGACATCTGGGTGGCTTAGTTGGTGAAGCACCTGCCTCCAGCTCAGGTCATAATCCCAGGGTCCTAGGATCAAGCCCCGTGTCAGTCTCCCTCCCTCCCTGTCTTCTCCTCCTGCCTGCCACTCCCCTCTGCTTATGCTCTCTCTTTTTCCCTCTAAAAAATAAATAAAATCTTAAAAAAAAAAAACCCACAAAAAAACACACTAAAAGTATTAAATATTCTTCACATCTGTAGGAGAAAATCCTGCTTACCCAGCCAGGGTAGAGCCCTGGGCCTTCAAGAATATGTAAAGTATAGGGAGAGCTGATATGGATAGGTGCCATATAGGCCCTGCGGTTTAGGTGATGACCGCCCAGTAGTGACATATTTGCTTGGTTTGGGGTAAGGATCAGCCTTTCCCTCTGTTTCTGCAGAAGCATCTACCAAGGCACCTATCACTACAGAGCCTGCCTCCCACATTACATTTTGAATCCCTATAAATTACTCTGTTCAGTGCAAAGCCCAATGCCTGGCATATAATCATGATCAACAGATAACTGATGAAGAATTTTTACCTTCGAAGTTCTTTCACACTGGTTCATTTCCTGCCCCAACTCCATGCCTCCAGGACAGGGCCTGGCATGCAGAAATGGGAGTGTGATCCTACCTACTCCCATACCTTAATAATGCAGTGTTCCTTTTGACCTCCTCTGGCTTCTATTTTCCATGATTTCAGGTGTACTTTACTCAGAGCTTAAGAAAATAGAGGGATTGAAGCAGAAATGAGACATGACCTGGCTTGTGTTTTTGTTTTGAGCTTTTTAAAGATTTTATTTATTTACTTTGAAGAGAGGTAGAGAACACAAGTGGAAGAGGGGCAGAGGGGGAGAGAGAATCCTATGCAGACTCTTCATCAAGCTCAGAGCTGACATGGGGCTCTATCCCAGGACCCTGAGATCATGACCTGATCCAAAATCAGGAGTCAGACACTTAATGGACTGAGTCACCCCGGTACCCCTAAAAGGTTCATATGGGTCTCTGTGTTGGGAGTAGTTTATAAGGGGCAAAGGCAAAAGCAGGAAGACCAGGAGGAGGCCATTTCAGTAATCCAGCAGAGTTGGGTTCTGGTTCGACTTTGAAGATAGAGCCAATAGGATTTTAGGTTGACCCTAAACAACTAAAAGGATGAAATTGCCTTTAGCCAAGTTGGGAATGCTGCAGGTAGAATAGATTTAGGGAGGCAAGTCTGGAGATATTAATTTTGAGATATCTATTTAAAATTTAAGTGGTGGGGTCTCCCATAACTACATTCCATAACTACTTCCTGGCTCCTTTCCTTGCCTGAGACAGGACAAGCTCCTTCCTACTTCTCGATGCCTACATGTGCCATTCTCTCCTCCTGGAATCCTTGCTTATCCACATACCACAGTCTTGATCCCTTGATTCATGGATTTCTGTGTTTTATTACCACTTTAGAGACACGTGCTCTGACCCTTCTAAACCAACAGCAGCCTCTATTCCTCTCTCTCCCCTTGCAAACCCTGGTTTGCTCTCACAGCCCTTTCTCCACCAGGCTGTTAGCTCTTGAGGGCAGAGGTGTATCACCCTTTTTGTTCTTTCCTACATGCCCTCTGCCTGCACAGTACATGACATAGCAGGCACTGAGTAAATGTGTTTGAATGGATGACTGATTGGCCCAGTAGTCCAAGATAGCCACCTGATCTTTTCACATGGTTTTTAAAAAAGGAGGCCCTCCTACTTAATGACATTTAACCCCCAGCAATAGTGAGTTGTCCATCTTGGAGACATAGAAGCTGTGCTGTCCTTCCTCAAAACCCCAGCAGGGATGCAGAGGATAAGGCACATGGAAGGAGCCCAATCATATAAATGGAAGGTCTGAGGAGTGGCTGGAGATCAGGGCTGCAGCTGTAGCCTACTCAGACACACACGTTAAGGAGCTCCCCTTGGAAGTCCCATCTCTGATGTTCATCATAATGCATAGTAAGCATGGGGCACGAGGGAGGGAGTCAGACCACAGGTCAGTTAATCAGCAGCCTAAACCTTCCCCCTACCCTTGCTGTCATTTCCAGAAATGGACTGGGAATACATCCATCGGCTTATAGGGAAGATGGGCATGAAGGAAAAAACCACTGTACCATGAAGTGCAAATCATGGCTTATAAAGATGAGGAGAGCCAAATGGAAAATTAAATTAAGGTGTTTGAATTCACACGCTGAATGTACTAAATCAAGGGCTGACAATTCCAGATCCTTGAACATACCCGCATCATTAGCAGCACCATTTAACATACTCACACTGATATTACTTCTTGGCTCCAGAACGAGAGTCACTTTCATTTCCCCTTCTGGGTGCAGGTGGCTGAGATGGAATAGCTTCTCTCCCATCATTCTCTCACGGGTCATCTTGCGGGCAGCATATAGACGGAAGCGGATAGCGCAGGCAGCCACATCTCTGGGCTCCAGCTTGGTGAAGGTGACCTTCTCCTTGAAGACAGGGTTGGGGCCTCTCTGTATGCTTGTCCTGCCCCTCTGCTTCTTACTGGGCAGCAGCACTACGTGAACTTGCCAGGAGTTGACACCACTTCGGTCCTTGTCTGGGAGACCCTGTGCTCTCACAATGGTCACTGTGAACTTCTGGCTGGAAGCTCTATATTCAAAGATGACATCCAGGTCACCACATTTTGAGATGGGCTCCAAGACCCCCGTTGGCACCTGAAAATTGGCCCCATCCTGTTCCTGTTGCAGATAGAGGAAGAAATTAGGAATGGAAATGGTAATGCCCAAATACCCTTTGGTGAGATGGTACCCCTCTATGCTCCTTCAGAACCCTCTAATTTTTGACCACTACCACATATCCCTATATATCAGAAGGGTCTGTTTACTGGTCTCTGTCTCCCTTGGACTACAAATTTTTTAGGGGCACAGCTTCTGGCATATGGTGAGCCTTCATGAATGTTTCTGGAATGAAGAAAGAAAGCTTTTATAATTTACAAAGTGTTTTCATATACACTGACTCTCCAAAAGTACAACTGACCACTATCATTGAAACTGAGATACTAAGTCTAAAATTAGTCAACAATGCAACTGCCAAGAAATAACTTTTTCTGCAGTCCCCAGGAGAAATGGTTAAGTCTGGGCCTGTGCTCTAAGGGCCAGGACTTCATGCAGATAAGAATCCTAATGCAGCTCACAGACAGGTGATCCTTCAGTAGATTTTCAAGCTACATGGGAGAAAATGTTTAGGGTAGAACTTCTTGAACATTTATGTGGACTTGAGTCACTCAGAGTTTCTGATTCTGTAGGACTGGGGTGAGGCCTGAGACTCTTCATTTCTCAGGTCATGAGGGTGTCACAGCTGGCCTCAAACCACACTTTGAGTACCAAGGTTTTAGGAGGACACTTGTAGCAGTCACTTAGCAAAGAGCAACACTGGATGCGGAAACAACCCATGGGCTGGAATCATAACTCTACCATACACTATCTTCTTGGTTCTGGCCAAATAGGCCACTCTCTCTGTGCTCTAGCTGCAAACTGAGCATTAAGACGCCTACTTGATGGAGTGCAGTGGTGAGGTTTTATGAGATATGGAAAAAGACCTGGCGCAGACCAGACTCCATCAATACCTATTCCCATCCATGGACTGATGCTACCTGTTTTCAAACATGGGCCCCTCATTATAAAATAGCACCCTTAGACAACAATTCACCCATAGCCACTCAGATCTGATGACCTCACTGAAAAAGCTGAGATGACCTGCATTACAAGAGTGGAGTACTCTCCAACAAACTATAAAGAATGTCAACATAATTCGATTTTTTTCTATGAAAATATGATACTTCCTCATAACAAAAACTATGACCTGATTCTTATTGTAAATCGGAATCCATTCTCATTTATGTAACTGAACACCAGACTTTGCTGATTTAAAGACTACTTTATTGTTTTTAAAGGAGGTTGCCTGCTTTAAAAAAAAAAAAAAGATTTAATTAATTTATGTATTTGTCAGAGAGAAAGAGAGAACACACAAGCAGGCAGAGTGGCAGGCGGAGTCAGCAAGAGAAGCAGGCTCCCCGCCGAGCAACGAGCCCAATGTGGGACTCAATCCCAGGACCCTGGGATCATGACTCGAGCCGAAGGCAACGGCTTAACCAACAGAGCCACCCAGGCGTCCCTAAAGACTAACTTTAAAATATATAATAAAGTGCCTCAAAAATCCGCATTCATCAACAAGACTTTCCCTGCAGAGCTGAGGTGAAAGTGCACGGTTCTCTGGAGTGAGACATCCTCAGGGACCCAACGTCTACCACTTCCTCCCCCATGGCATTGAACGAATTATCTAATCCTTTCCTCTCTCGGTTTTCTTCAACAGTAAAACAGGGATGAAAACTACTTACAGGGTTGTTATGAAAATGAAAGGACTTGACACATGGGAGACATGGAATAAATGCCTTCTCTTTTTAAAATTCACATTAGTCTACCGAGAAAATTTAGGCTTCTTGCAAAATAGGGGAAGCTCCTTATATTCTTTCCTCAGCATGCATTCATGAGAGAGTGTTTCTATTCAGAGGTACTTAGTTTCAAGTGATAAAAGTGGTTGCTATAGAGACTTCTGAATACAACTGACTAGTGTAGATATAATATTAGAAGCAAGTCTCCAAGGAGTTAGGCTAGCACAGAAATCAAGTCACAGTCTTCTGTTAAAACTCCCCTCTATTTTAGCCTCCTCTTGATCATCTCTATATTGCTTGCTGGATCAAAAGTAATGATGGCCAACATCCACGAAGCCCTCTCTTGTGCCAGATACCATACTAAACTCTTTATAGACTGCAAAAGCCCACTGTTACTTTAGACCTTCTTGGCCTCACCTTTTATTACGTCTCCCTCTACAGGCACACCCTGTCGGGCTCTAAGTAGCTTTGGCCTGATAAAAGCCCATGGAGGTCTCAACTGCTTGCTCTCAACTCTCACCACAGGCCTCTCTGTTGATGTTAAGGCTTGGAAAGTTACAGAATCCTGGCTGGCATTCATGTATATAAATTCCAGCGTGTGTGTAAGGTTACTGCCTCAAGCAGTAAACTTGTCTCCCCTTGGACAGGTGTCCCGAGATCAGTTAATACAGCTTCTTGTGGCATGGTCCCACAAGATCAAGCCATGAGTCACACTTTGTGGTGGCTGACTTGATTACACATTCCCATGTGGCTCTCCCTTCTTCCCTGTCTCACTCTCCCCTTATCCCTCACTCTTCTTCCCAGGGATTGAATATCCTGACACAGTAGGCTCTGCTTTTTGGGAAATCCAGCTAAGAATTATTATCTTCGAAAATATTCTCATTAACCTAATGAGGTAGGAATTTTAAATATCTTCATTTATGGGGGAGGAAACTTAAGATTTAGAAACTCACTCCCACCAGGACAATGCAGGATTTACCAGCATTAATGCTCAAAATTCCAAACCTTATGCTGAACCACGATGTCTCCCTTCTTCTCCCCGAGGCTCTTCCCATAGCTATTTATATTTGTAGTAAACATGCGGGGTGAGGCGGGAGTAAGATGGAAGACGGAAATACATACTACTTTGAATTTCACATCCTTTTAAGTCCCTGCTCTTAATGATAGTTAACAGTTTCCTGTTTTGTCAGCAACTTCAAGGCAAGGTAAAAATATTAAGTTCAGTGAGTCTCTCTCCACTCATCCGTCAGGCTATCTATTCAGACAAAGGCTCACTCCATCTGCAGGTCTAAGGGAAGTCCTTTGGAGGTCTCTGAAACGACTCTCCTCAGAACCCTGCAGAAGACAGAGCTGTAGGCCATCGCCAGGTTCTGGACAGGGCTGATCCAAACTGTAGCACCGGGGGGCTGGGCTCTGTGGCCCCTTCCTGGGTTGATCTGAAACACAGATTTGGGAAGGCTGGTATTTTCACAGCAATTAATTATTCTAACACACGTTACCTATCACCAGGCTCTCCTTATGCGGGTACTGTTAATACCACTAATCCATCTGACCTTCCTGCAAGGTAAAAAAATCTTTTCATTTTTATCCCCATTTGGCAGATTTTAATTAACTTCTCAAGGCCGACCGGTTAATCAGTAGAAAGCAGAGATGAAATGTGGGACGCCTGCCTCCTGCGTGATGAAAATCACCAGCCGTCCTCCCAATGTCTGCCATGCCAAGCCTTGGGTCTGCAGGAAAAAGTCGATGGCCTTTACCGGCAGAGAAGAGCAGTGTTCAAAAATCCATCAGCCTAACCAGTAGGCACACTGCCTGGCTGGTTTCCTTTTGAGAGGAAATAAATGATTCTTTTAGTTTCAATATCCCGATTGTTCTTTAAGATGAGAACACTTGTGCCACACAGTCAAAACCCTAGTAGGTTTAAAGATTTTTCTATCAGGTTGAAAGCCTTTGTGTTTCAGTGAGATAGTGTTGATGTCATCTGTATGGCTCCACGTAAACAGACCTGTGGTATGTTCCCGATGCCAGATGCACAGGGGAAGACAGGGTTCTTAATACAGCCAAGAGGCAAATCAATCAATTCTTAAAAGGCAAGCTAAGCCTGCAAGGCAGGCAGTTACAGGAAGTGCCTCCAAGCTGCATCTGAGGTTCTACCGTAGGAGCACCAAATTACAGTTTTTGTCTCAAAATAGATAGGAGGTTGAATGGAGCACACAGAGATGTCTGGGTATTTTTGGAGTCTGGGAACATTTAGTGCTCTCAACACGAAGTCTTCTATGAAAGCTCCGTGAGTCAGGCAGATGGGAGGTTACCTGAAGAAAGCAATCCCAAGCCTAAGGGAACGGTTATCAAGGGGACAGAGTATCAAGAGGCAGGTAACAGCTTTTGTTTTGTTTTTGTGGTGAGAGAGCCAAAAAGAATATTTTTAAAGTTAAATGTTGTTGTGTGGGATTTGATAGGACTTCTTAGCAGTAAACCAACTGGGAAGCAGAATTTAAAAAAAAAAAAAAACCCAACAACTTATAAGGTTAATAGCTTTGGGTGTCTCTATATGCAGGGCTGCTCTTGATAAGCCACAAACCACGTATCCGAGTTACTGTTTCTTGTCCTCAGTGGTAACACCAACACATGGCACGCACACACCCGCCCACATGTGTACACCTCCTTCTGCTCTCTCTACGCATCCCAATGCATTAGCAGCAGTAAGGTTTTGGAACATGATTTTCTGTGATTATTTTTTCTTCTCCTTGAGGAGCATTTGGAATATATGACAGCCTAGGTCCTAATAAGAGATTCTACCTATTTTCCCAGGCAGCCTGAGGCTAACAAAATCCTTTCACTTTTCTCCATTCACTTTTCTCTTTCCTATTGCCCCACAAATTATATTAATATTTTATATTCATTTATTGTATATTTCATCAAAATTAATTTCCAAGTAGGCATTAGACATTATTATTTGAAATCTCCTAATGTTACAGAGTCACAATAAAGAGATCTAGCTAATAAAGAATAACGAAAAATGCCTGTTAGGTAACATAGTGTTTGCAAATCTTTATCACAGTGCCTGGCACATTGTAATTGCTCAATAAATGATAGTGTCTCTAAGAATCACCTCCAATCATACCTCTGTGCTATTAGACATATTCTGGAATAAGTTTCAAATAAGAAATAAATTTAGAAAGAACATCTTTTTTTTTTTTTTTAGATTTTATATAGTTATTTGACAGAGAGACACAGTGAGAGAGGGAACACAAGCAGAGAGAGTGGGAGACAGAGAAACAGGCTCCTGTCAGAACAGGGAGCCCAGTGAGGGTCTGATCCCAGGACCCTGGGGCCATGACTGGGGCTGAAGGCAGATGCCTAATGACTGAGCCACCCAGATGCCCTGGGGCATCTTTTATCAGAGATTTACTCCAGAAACCAATGTCAATGGCCAGAGGGTTATCACAAACTAATGCCATCTCCTAGATCTTGAAATCAATTCAAATCCAACAAATTTACGGCAAGATCTTCATCATAATATCATTGTTTCACTGGGAGGGCCATTGTATTTTAATTTTCAAATAATTCTTTTATTCAAGTAACTGTAACTCAAGATTTGGGGCAAATAAAAATAGACTCCACTTAATTGAAACCATGAAGGAAGTAAACCAATCTTCCCTGAAGAACTAAAAACTCTTTTATATAAACAAGAAGTATAATTGTTGCTGGGTCCATTCCACCACCACTCTTTTTCCCCCCATTTTGATAGAAATGTATTTGTGATTCTTTTATTGTATACCCCCTTTTATTGGTACACATGGGGGCTGTGATGTGGTCATCCGAAAAAAAAAATTTATTTTGAATAAAGGCTCTTTAGGCCTTTGTTTTTCAAGGTGATGTATCCTTTTCAGAGAATTTTTTTTTTCTTGAGGCATGGGGAGCAAGAGGAAAGCAAGAACTCACCAGAGAGCACACAATGCTCAAGCGAAGGAAAACAAAACAAGTAACTTGCCTCTGGGCTCCACATGGAGGAGCTGTCTGTAGCACAGGAGTCTTCAAACCCCCGGTTATTAAAGGCTGTCTCCAATTCCAAGCTGCCTTCTGTAGACTGGCGACTGAGGCTGTGAGGCACTTTGGTCTCTTGGGGAGATGCACCATGGTGCCCGGTGTTCCCCACCTCACATGGGGACTGGGAATGGGCAGAAACGGGATCATCTTCACCGTAGGACAGATTCTCAGAATAATTCCGCTGGCTGGGTCCATCCAAATCTAAATTTGCAATAAGGAAACTAATTCAAATGTACTATTACTTTCTACCTTTTTACCTGGAGAATTTGAGTAGTAGCAACAACATAAATCAAGACCTCAAAAGCAAAACCCATCAAATAACACCTGCAGAAACATAATTGCATCCACGTGGTGGATAAACTAGGTCTATATAACCAAAAAGACCATTAGTTCATTACATGTGGTATAAGAAGGTTTAATGCTTTCTAGTGATATGAGTATGAAGGATATATCCTAATGTTAAAAGGATAAAATAAACACATTAGCACTTTGTTGGAACTAATTGGCCACAAGACCTTGGGGATAGATCTAGAAAGCAAGAACAACAATCTACGGAGATCATATTGTGTCCTGACTCGACTATTTTTCTTTCTTTCTTCCACTTTCACCATCTTATCCTCTCCTTGAAAGGCTTCAGTGGTTCTTTCAAGTAAAAAGTTCTCTACTTGATCCATGGAAGGAACACTGGACTTGGATTCAGATGATCTGGATTTAAATCCTAGCTCTGCATTAAGAATTTAAGCAGAGAGAGTCAATTATCATATGGTTTCACTTATTTGTGGAGCATAACAAATAGCATGGAAGACATGGGGAGTTAGGAGAAGGGAGTTGGGGGAAATTGGAAGGGGAGGTGAACAATGAGAGACTATGGACTCTGAAAAACAATCTGAAGGGTTTGAAGAGGTGGGGGGGTGGGAGGTTGGGGGAACCAGGTGGTGGGTATTAGAGAGGGCACGGATTGCATGGAGCACTGGGTGTGGTACAAAAACAATGAATACTGTTATGCTGAAAATAAATTTTAAAAAACGATTAAAAAAAAAACAAAAAAAAGGAAAAAAAAAGAATTTACACAATATTTGAACTGTCCAAACCTTTGTTTCCTTATTGATAAAATGAGGATAAAAGCCATTAGAGAATGGTTGTAAACACATGACACAAGAGCCTCCTAGCAGTCACTAGGTTTTCCATAAATATTGGCCTTGCTTGTTTGTCTGGCCCAAACTGGCCTCATCCAGCCCAGTAAACCCCATTTTCTACTGCCTCCACGTTACTATCACCTGCGGTCTCATGGGGTCATGAAAACACTAGCTGTGTATTTCTGTCCACTGTGGTCCTCAAACCCCAACTCCTGCCCTCTCCTTCTTGTCCAGCCAAAGCCCAACGTCTCCTGAATCTACCCTCACTTCTTGGACTCAGTATTTTTCTCTGACTTTAGTGTTATTCTACCTTCCCTATCAGCCCTCCCTTACCTATGCATCTCCTTCCTCTCCTTTCAAGTCTAAGTTACCCTCAGACAGTAAAGGAAAATGGGCAGGGTCTTCCCAAGCAATAGCTTTCCCCCTGACTTTCCTCCCACATCCAGAGAGTAGCCGAGGACGTGTTCTCTCTTTCATCTCCAGGATAAGAGAAATTAGAGATACAGACAGGACGAATGAGTGGGATGACAAAGTATAGATCATGAATTCAGCTCTTATTTATACTGTATGGTAGCAAGTGTTTCTACTGTTGGTCTTAAAGCCTCAGCCAAAACATAAGCTCCTTGGCCACATATCTATGCTTCCTAGTCTTTATCCACCAATGGGTTTCATGAAACTCTCCCCATAACTTTCAAGGCTAGACAGGTTAACAAATTTCTGAAACAGCCGGGTGTGCATCTCTACAGAGTAGTGGCAACAGTGGTTTACCAGCAGTTTATTACCTACCTGCAGTAAACATGCAATCTTAAAAAATACATTATCACCCTATGCAGACTACACAAAAACATATTTAGGCAGATTGGTACTCAGAGCACAACTTCAGACTCCTAATTTGGGATTTTTCCAAAACCATGGCAAACCACTGAGAAGTTCCCCTTACTGCCTTGTAATTCTTAATAATTCAGTTCAGGCCCCTTGGAAACACTTTCCTAGGACACCATGACATTTTTACATTCACACATTCAGTTATTTGGCAAACATACTTTAAAAAGCCCACAGAAAATAATAGAACAAGGGATATTCCATATGCAAAACCCTATAACATAAAGCAGAATTTTCTTCTAAGGCTCTAATTAGCACATCCATTCCTCATATCCATGAACACTAAAATGTCCTATTAAACAGTGGGTCATCCATCAACGTGTGCAGCACCCAGCAGGATTTCAGCACAAAATCTAACTTTGCCAAGAAATTACCCCCATAAAATTGTCTCATGACTTTAACTCCTACGGTGATAATACCTAGATCAGTAATAAGGGAATTTTCAAAAGCTACATTAAGCCTTGAAAAGCTATTCATAACCGAAAAACATAAGAACTATATTAATGTAACAAACCATTTTCCTTGACAGACAAGCAAGGAATGAATTAGAAAAGCAAAGCTGGGGTATAAGTCACGAGGCAGAGGAAAAGAAAGGGGATTCACCATTACATAAGGCAATCTTCCCATCCTATAAGTTAAAGAAGATCGTGTCACCTTAAACACATACACAAAAGTAATTGCCTGTTGTCAGAGTAATGTATCCTAGCTTCTTAAAAATTATAGGCCACGGTTATATCATACAAAGCATATTTATTTTAACAGAAAGATTTTAGCACTTTTAAGTCCATATCCCACTTTGACATGGTATAACGCTATTATCTAGTTACTTTATTTTACACTCCCAAACACTTCTCCCACCACCACCTACATACAAATACTTTTGCCCACCATCTACAATGGTCAGTTTTATGTGTCAGCTTGGCCAAGCTATAAGCCTCAATTAATCAATCAAACACTAATTGAGGAAACACTGTGAGGTATTTTGTAGATGTGACTAAGGCCCTTAAGCACTTGACTTCAAGTAAAGGAGATTATCCTACGTAATTAGTTCACTGAAAGCCTTAAGAGGAGACTTGAGGCATCCCTGGACACAAAGAAGTTTACTTGGGGTTCAAACTCATGACCCCAACATCAGGAGTTGAATGCTCTACCAACTGAACCAGCCAGGCACCTCAATGTCACCTTCATATATATAAAATCCTAACTGATACCCCATTCCAAACAAAACTGAGCACAGATTTCCGGGGATAGTTGAACTGTTTTCAATGATATCAGGATTGCAACGTCTAGTTTTTGTGAAACATCCTAAGAACTACAGATTTCATAAGCAAAAATAAGGCTCTGTTCAAAACCAATTAAACAAACAAACAAATAGATAAATGCCCTGATAAGTGGACTACTCTTCTCCAGCCCACTTTTCAGACCTAAAGACCTGATATGCAGCCTCTAATCTGGATCACTTAACACAAACCCTCTTTGGCATTCCTGGGGATGCAGAGACAGTTAATGCACAGCTATGCTACATCAGACAAATGCGACGAGAAAACTGGCCAGGGATATGAAGATAGCGTTTGCTTGGTTCTAAAAACCCCACTCTATCTAGAATGAAGGATCCCACTTGATGAAACATGAGATAACCTACCAATAACTCACTCATGGTTCAGATTTTACTTGGATTTGGACCTTTACTTTCACTGTTCCAACATTTTGAAAGCATTTTGAAAGTGGAAGAATTGTCTACAATTAAATTTTTTCTTAGAAAATCATATTTAAGGTAGAGTGGGAAAAAAAGACTAAGTAGATGGAGGACCGGCAAAAAAAACCCTCACAATTCCTCTCTGGGGTGCATGCTTAATCTCTTCCTTATTCTTTACTGCTGAAAACAAATTCATAAACCTAAAGATGAACAAAAAGAAATGACACAGAACAAAAAATATCATGCAATAAAAATGACATTAACATTTTCATGGCATTTGATAACCTAAAATTTAGCACACAGTTATCCTCTCCTATGAAAATCTTGCTGATTTTCTTCAAAATCTATAGATAATTTATCCAGTGCAATGTGCTTTTTGCCCCCTCCAATAGAGAAAGAAATGTGATCTTTCCTGTCACTCTCTGTCAAGTTTTTCAGAATCGCCCGTTATGAATAAAGTTATTGCTAATTCCAGAAGGGGTGAGGGTTAGAATTGTTGTCAGAACTCTCAGAACATGGGCCATTTGTATAAATCAGAAACTAGACATTTGGGCTTTGGGGAAATGGAGCCATTAGCTTTAGAATGCACGGAACTGCTCCTGGGGAATCAACCGCCATTAACTTTCATTAGCAATCATTTGCCCTTGCAGTGGAGAGAGAGGGACACTATCATGGAACACCAGCGAAAGAAAAAACAGGAGAGTGGTGAGTGAATGGCAGAGGTCAGTAGCTACTGATACAATATGGTGGTCATTTACCTTGGGTTAATAGGAACAGCAATAAAATATGCTATGTTGGCCCGTATCAATAAGTAGAATTACACGACAGAGTGCAAGTTGTTAGGTTTCTGCTGACAAATAAATAAGGTTCTCTCTGGATATCCTCCTTCTTTAAATTTTTATTTTATTCTTTTTTGGAATGCCTCATTCACCTTGTCAAGCCAGACATTTCTTCTCTGTTATCTTCTCTCAATCTCGGGCTCTCCTTTTTCTCTATCTATTGCTAAGTGTTGCAAAAAATGGAAAGACTACAACTATGGGAGAATAGTTCCATAATGGAAACTATGGAAGACTACAACTATGCCCCTCTTGGTTTGACTGACCATATATCCAAGGGAAAGAAGAAAAAGATTCGAGAGCACAAGTCATTTAGACCAGGTCACGAAAGCGGGCAGTGTGACATTTCTTCTAGCTTTCTACCTAATATGATTCACAGACTCTTCCCCGTTTCAATATCCTGTGCTTACTAGGGTTCCAGGCATAAGAGAGTCAGAGAGATGCCTGACCTTCACTGGGGAAAGCACTAAGAAATAATTTACTGTTCTTTTTCCAGGTTGTTTTGTGTGAGTGGTGTGGAGGGAGGACTCTTAACAAGACCTACCTACCATAATGAGCCACAAGCTAGGTTTCCTCTACCTCAGAGTACTGTACCACTGGGGAAGGTATTCAGTCTGAAGATGCTGGAAAATGGCAGAAGACCTTGCTCTTGCTCAGCAAGCAATTTTCCTGTGAGGCAGAGGATGGGGATAGTGGTGGGGGTGGCCAGAAACTACAGGGAATGAGGGCAGAAGTTCAGGGTATGTGCTATTTGAAAAGGGTTATTCAATATTACTGTGATACATGTTTTTATTTGAAAGGTAAAACATGCCTGTGGCTTTAATAATATGAACTATTAGAAGAAAGATTTCAAAAATTGTCTGAGGTTATACAGATAGATAGAAAATAGACTGATTCCAAGTGAGAGAAAAGGCGCAGAATTTCAATGTCAGCAAACAGCTATGTGAAATGTTTATATTTACCAGAGGAGATTAAGATTTTATAAAGCTTAATAAATACCATGCTAATTCTAGCCATTAGTGTTCAAAATATACAAAATGGTAAGCTCTAAGGAAGGAGGAGGGTCCCACAAATCAGGGGTCAAGATTTTGGTACTTCTTATCCATTACTTCTCCCAGTTCCCTATATGACACCCCCTCTGTTAGGTTTGAAAAAACCCTTTACCCTGTTCCAGCCTCTAGTTCTTGCCCCATTTTCTTTTCCTCTCTGGGCTCTCAGATACAAGTATAATGATTGACTCATAGGTGTTCTTACCATTGTCCATCCCTGCTCTAGATAAAGAAAGGGTTTCATGCAAAGAATACCTTCACAGGCAGATACTTCTGTGTTATCCTCCTCATGGGTAGAGAGCAGGTGGCTGAAATTTGATTTCTGCTCCAATCCCACCTGCTTTCCTTTCTCAGATGCTTCTGAATGGAAACTCTGGGACCGGGACACAGAAATCTCAAATTGTTTGATCACCTCTTCATCACTGTCAGAAGATGTACATGGCTCTTCATCATCGCCAAAGCTGTTAACTGGGAGCAAACAAGAGCCATGAGTCTCATGTGGGGCTCACAAGAATACAGAGATTGATAACCCAGAGAAATAGAAGAACATAGAAGAACATGAATGATTAGTCTGGATAAAGCAGGCCCAACCCAGACAGAAAGATTTTAAAGCATTTTTTGAAACACAAATTTGAGTCCAAAGGAATAAAACAGGAAAAGAAAGCTTATGTGGGCAAGTAGAAATACATAGCTGGAACTCAGGAGGAACCATCAGGACACTCCTGACATAATAAGACCTTTAGTTGAGAAGGGCGGCCCTACTGATTTGTTGTGTTGGGGACATGTGCTTATAACTGGGAACAGGACATTTGATAATGATGACAGAAAATACGCTCTTAGTCTCATCTCTGTTATTAAAACACAAAGAGCTAAGCCCCATCCCAGAGAAGGCATACTTGCAACTGAGAACTTCCAAAAGTGTCCTAGTTTTGAAGAGATACCCACAGTAGTATATGTAATTTAAACAAAACAGAACTAGTTTATATTATAATGTTCTAATGCCTTTATTAGCACCAACAACCCAAACCAAACACCCTTTCAATTATTTGTACTACTTTCCTCATATCAGCTCACTGGCACTTTCAGTTTCTCCAACAAGCTAAGATGGTTCTTCCCTTTGAGTTCTTCGCCTTTGTTGTTCCTTCTGTCTAGAACCCTCCAGTCCCTGGTGTTTTCCTGGCTGGCTCCTCTCACCACTGAAGTGTCAGCTCCATGGTCACTTCATCCTAAACTCTTCTTCATTGTCCTACCTTAAGCAATTTTCTTCAAAACATTTCTATTCCTCTCTTCTCCACCATGACTTCCATGAAAATAAAGACATCACCAGTTTTGTTATCTGATGTCTCTCCATTATGTAAAACAATGTCCATTGCATAGTAAGTGCTTAACAAAAGCTTGTTAAATCTTGAAGAAATTGGTGAAGATCCAGTGTTTTCTCCCAAACCTGAGCGCCACCCACCCTCTCCACTAACACAAACTCACCCAGGGTTCCCTGTGCCTGGAATGTTTTCCCTTTGCCCCAATGCCTGTCTAGACTAGTCAAGAATCCAGTTCATCATGAGGACTCAGTATAGACATCACTTCTAGAGAGAGCCTTTCACTGACCCCTTAAATCAGGTTCAGAGCTTCTTCCATGAGCAGTAAAATAGATCTCAGCTTGCCCTATCAATGTTCCCTCCAGCTTTGTGACAGATTCACCTATTTAATTTCCAACCATTCCACCCAATCTGTGCATAACAGGAGAGTAAGAGACACAGTGGACCACCCACCTTCGCTTCCCTCCAGGCCATATCTCCATGTCAGGCACACGGCAGGCTACTCTGTAAATATTTGCTGAAAGTAAACTGGAAATGATAAATAATGGGGATTTTTTTTTTTTTTTCCAGAGTGAGTGAGCAAGAGAGCATTGGGAGGGGTGGGAGAGAGGAAGAGAGAGAGAGAATCTTAAGCAGGCTCAACACCCAGCATGGAGCCAGACACAGAGCTCGATCTCACAACTCTGAGATCTGAGCCAGAGTCGAGTCAGACGCTTAACTGACTGAGCTACCCCGGAGCTCCAGTGGGAAATTATTATTTTTTTTCAATTTGCTCCTCCCATCCAAAAGTCATACGTAATTCTCGGGAAGAATATGGTTATTAATTCATAGATGGGTCCTGAAGATTACTACTGAGCCAGAAGCTAAGAAGAAATTATAAATACATTTTTAAAGTGAGAAAAAATACATTAAATACCAGCCTGGTCAAAATATCTATTTTCTGTCTTATTTAAGAGTTGACATTCCTGAGTTTGTTTAGAAGATTAGTAATAATAATAAATACTTTTTGCTTTTTTAATGTGCCAGAAACTGTCCTAAGTGCCTTACACATATTATCCCACATTAATCACCCATTATCATTCATTTTCCAAGTGAGAAAATCGAGAGAAAGAAAAGCCTACAACTGGTTGAATATCATACTCCCAATAAAGGGTAGAACTGAGTTTTGAATCAAGGTAGCTGTCTCGAGAGGCCATGTTTCTAATTATTATTCTGAAGAGCCAAAGAGAGGCACTAGAAAGAATCCTTCTGAATTCTGAATGCTCACATCAACTAGCTCAGCCCCTGTGGTCAAATCTCTTAACCTGTGCGGATCATTTCTAATGTCTGGATCATTTCCCAGGTCTTCTCTAGATCTAAGTTTTCTGACTCCAAACTTCCTACCCAACAAACGTCAATACTGGATCTGTTTTTCTCTTTTATGGAGCAGCTGATTTAAGAATACAAGAATACATCACTGTCAGCTCACTCAGTTGTGTTGGCTGTGACCAGCACCAGTAAGACCTGAAAAGCCAATTGTTAGAAGACATGAGATATCCCACTAATCCTAAAAAACCACCCCAACAGAAAATCATCACAAGAGGCTGTCTTCCCATGTCCCAATACGCTGTGCAAAGCACCTGTTGTAAGGCAGACTATCACATAAGGGAGAGATCCAGGGGCCAATGGAGCAAAATTAAACTCCCTTCACCATTAGAACACAGGACCAGCTGAGCACCTGGGAAGGAATTAGAGGGATATAAGCATGGGGGATGAAGCATTCATTGGAGTTCTAAGTGTAAGATACCATTCCATTTATATTACTAGGTCAGATTCTAAAATGTAAGTAGTCATAGTTATCAATCTCAAATCAAGTGACTGGATATTTCCTAATCTATAAAATCAATAGTTGGAATTCACTAATTTTTTAGAATTCATTAATTTACCATTATAGGATCCCTGAGAGGTGGGGATTTTTGTTGTTGTTGTTTTGCTTTTGTTTTTTGTTTGTTTGTTTGTTTGTTTTCCCCCAGTGAGTCACTGATCATCCACAGAAGAAAGATTTCCATTTCACTAAACATTCCAGATACCTTCTTGGGACTTTGCATATATTCTCTCATTTAATCCTCGCAGCAACACCATGCAGTAAGGATCATTATTAGTCCCATCACAGAGATGGAAAACAGAGGCACAGAAAGTTAAGTAGATTGCTCTCAGCAACAACATTAGCAAAGTAACAAAATGGGACTTGAACATTGAACCTGTGTTTTTAGCCCAAGTGCATATCATCAAACACCATCGGGTGAGGGCACTAGAGCCATATCTAGTTTACTTTTCAGAGTGAGGTGAGGGTGCTCTGTCACTTCCACCCTGAAATCTGCCAGGAGGTTGCTTCCTTTGTGAGAAGAGACCGGCAGTCAGCCCATGTGGGAGTGAGTGAATGCATACAGCAGCCTGCGGTATAACCGGCCTATTGCCCCTCATGGGATTATAAATAAAAACTGCACGTGCTATTCTAAGCCTCACTCCCCAAGGACTTCAGGGAATTCTCCATTTAAAAATGACACTTGCCATCCCTCCCTAAAAACCACTCAGCAGGGGCGCCTGGGTGGCTCAGTGGGTTAAGCCGCTGCCTTCGGCTCAGGTCATGATCTCAGGGTCCTGGGATCGAGTCCCGCATCGGGCTCTCTGCTCAGCGGGGAGCCTGCTTCCCCCCACCCTTCCTCTCTCTCTGCCTGCCTCTCTGCCTACCTGTGATCTCTCTCTGTCAAATAAATAAATAAAAAAAATCTTTAAAAAAAAAAAAAACAGCAGCAACATAAGTCTCTAGTGGCACGATTACAATGATAAAAGCAATTCCATTTACAACACGTACCATGTGCAGGCACTATTCTAGAACTTTACCTATTTTAACTTATTTGCTCTTTACAATAACCTAAACCCATTTTGTGGATGGGAAAACTGAGACAAAGTGAGGTTAGTAATTTGCCACGGTCATAACAGTTAGTAGTAGTGGAACCAAGATTCAAACCCAAGCTGTATTGCTCCAAAGTCAGTGTAAATGAACATGATGTTCCCTCGACCATCTGCTGCCTCAAGGGAAAAAAAAAAATCATTCTTAAATCCTGGTAAAAATCTACACAACTCTGTTTTATCACTAAGAACACAAAATCACATAGTTTGAGCTGGAAAGAATTTTTATAAGCATTTTTTTAGACTTTCTTTTATTTATTTAATACAGAGAAAGAGAGAGCACAAGCAGGGCGAGCAGCAGGCAGAGGGAGAGGGAGAGGGAGAAGCAGGTTCCCTGCTGAGCAAGGATCCTAACATGGTACTCCATCCCGGGAGCCGGGATCATGACCTGAGCCAAAGGCAGACACTTAACTGACTAAGGCACCCAGGCATCACTATAAACATCTTTTTAAAAGATTCCTGTGGGGTGCCTGGGTGACTCAGTGGGTTAAAGCCTCTGCCTTCGGCTCGGGTCATGGTTCCAGGGTCCTGGGATCGAGCCCCGAGTCGGGCTCTCTGCTCGGCTGGGAGCCTGCTTCCTCCTCTCTCTCTGCCTACTTGTGATCTCTCTCTCTCTGTCCAATAAATAAATAAAATCTTTAAAAAAAAAAAAAAGATTCCTGCTACTTACCTTGTAATAAGTCTATGTCAACAACTAAACTAAAACGTCTGGATTTCATTCAACTTAAATTTTTGAAAATCACAAAGTCTCATCTCAGTTGTGACATTTCTTTCAGAGATAAGATAGTACTTTCTGAAACATCATATAAATACCAAGTTTAAACCCCTTTCAAGCTAAGTACCTGGGAAATAACAGTGGGAATTTGTATTCAGGTCTTCACCCCTTCATCCAATTAGCTTGCTAAAATAATAGGGGGAAAAATTGCACAATTACCGTGGATGTGGATACATCTTAAAGTTGAGATTGTTCCTTTCACTCAGACACAGAATACAGAGGGATCATTGATAGAACCCAAATATCCACCACCAGAAAGAAGGCAGACTCTTCTGCAAACCTTCTGATGCTTGGCCACCCAGCTTCATCCCTTTGTTCGCACACTGTAGAGGGGAACCGTTGGCTTCTTGAACTGGCAGGAAGATCATATCTTGGAAAGGTAGAGAGCACTGACTGGAGACCCATCAGAACTGAATCCCTGCTAC